AAGTTAATGATTTGAACATTGATAATAAATGATAAATAACCATATTTAAAATAATAATATAGTAATTATTATAAAAAAGTAATAAATATATATATTTTTACTATTTTCAAAATGATTAAAACTCTACTTAATATTTTTAAATAAAACTAACTTTAAATTAAATAGAATTCAATTCCGCTCGATTCGATATATTGTGCGTAAAAAACGGAGCTAAATTGAATTTTCTGTGAATTGTTGAGCGAAATCGGGTTTAAAATCAATTAAAATAAATATAAAACCCAAAATTACCTCGGCTCGACACTTGGCGCCGCTAGATTCGTCCCGCGGTTCACGCCATTGTCATTGCGCTGCTGACAATGGTTGCACCATGATTCGCGCAATCATCTCACGGTCCCGCCGAGTGACTCATCCACGTCGGCACGCGTGCGGGACCGTCCAATCTCGCTCTGTGATGGATGGACGACCGAGATTTGGTCAGACGGAACCGTGGTCCGACCATGAGCTTCCGCGTTTGAACGAGGGAGGGATCCGATCGGATCTGCATCATTGATCAGAGGGATCAACGGTCCAGAGAGCACACGGCTGGGAACTAGCCGGACCGAGAAGCCTAGCCCTATTTTCGCCTAAATCTCACAAACCACTCGAAAAAACCTCATTAAATTTTAGACGTAGGTAGTAAACATGAAGAGTATTCATGGGGAATAAAAATCACGTTCTAAAACGCATTATACGAGGAGTTATTCAGATCTAAGTGCGCTGAACTAGGGTTTGAGATATACCTCGATCCACTTGATGGAATTGGATGATTTTGGGCTCGATGAACTCGTGGGATCTGTAGGAACAATCTTCCTCTTGACCTTGAGCTTAGAAGAGGCCTCAATCGGACGGTAGGAGTCCCGAAAGATCTTTAGCTTCGGTTTCACCGGATTTTTCGCCGCTGGCGAGCCTAGGACGCCGGGATTTGGTGGGGAAAGGTGGAGGAAGTATGTGGGAGCACTCTCGCCAAATCTCAGAGCCTGAGGTGGTCTCTAGATCGAGCAAGAGCAAAAAGATCCCAAAAAGATCAATTTTTTTTTGTATTTAAAGGGCCTAACCCTATCATAAACGGTGGGGATTCAATCCTTGGCTCATTTGGAGGGAAATCAATTTGATTCCACAGAAATTTAAATTCCAAAATGTCTATGAGCATTAAAAAAACATTAAAGGGGCTTTAATTTCAATTAAATAGGTCATTTTGACCTATTTAAAACTTGGGTTGACCAAGTTAATGGCTGACCCAGTCAACCCAGTTAAAATAGGTCAAAGAGCGAAGTGGAATCGGGCCATGAAAAGATTTGAGTGGATTTGGGCTCTTAAGGGGCTTAATGGATCAATTTTTGACCCATTAGAGCTTGGGTTGAGCAAGTCAAAGATTGACTTGGTCAACTCAGGCCATCACACCAAAGTCTGGGCAAAATCGAGGTCAACAAACGGACTCCCAAAAGGAGTGGCGAACAACTAGTGAACCGCTAGTGTTGGCGTTGACCAACTAAGCCACAGAAAGAAGGGTGAAGAGTACAAGAGTGTAAGGGTACCAAAAAGGTGGAAGAAGGTAGGAAATTCTTCTCCTGACCTTGCCCCATAGTGGGGGCAGAGCCTAGGAAAGAAGAAAAAGCAGCAGTGCACAAGTAAGGTATCACTGAGACAGTGAACCAGTTGTAAGGTCTTCTCCTGGTCTTACCCCTCGACAAGGGTAGAGCCAAGGAGAGAACCAATGTAAAGATCACCTAAAAAGGTGAACATAAGGTAAGGGGATTCTCCCATAGCCTTGCCCTATAGAGAGGGCAGAGTAGAAAGGAGAATCAAAAGAAAAGGTCACCACTAGGGTGGAAAAGGTAAACGAGTTCTTCCTTAGCCTTGCCCTATAGTGAGGGCAGAGCCAAAGAGAGAACCAAAGTAAAGATCACCTAAAAAGGTGAAAACAAGGAAAGGGGATTCTCCCATAGCCTTGCCCTATAGCGAGGGCAGAGCAGAAAGGAGAATCAAAAGTAAAGGTCATCACTAGGGTGAAAAAGGTAAAGGAGTTCTCCCTTAGCCTTGTGTTGCGGATCTATGGTTTATGATTTTGATGATAGCAAACATTCTTTATTTCTCTACGATTTCCTTATGTGCTAACATTTCAGGTCCACACAATCAGACTACAATTTGGAACCAGCTCAAGATTGGGTAGACTAGGATTGTGTTAGTTTGTAATCTTTTTCCTTTCTTGAGTCTGTTGTATTTGGTGTGGCATCTGATGATTTATAACTTGGAAGATTTTCTATTGTGCCCTAAAAAATTTTTATTTTTGGTAACATCGTCCGGGACGATATTTATATCATCCTGGACGATCTGACAAAAGTAGAAACCCTAATTAGGGTATCCTCATTAAAGCAGCCGTCTTTATGCAAAACACATCGTCCTGGACGATTTTATATCGGCCAGGATAATCGGCTCAATTCAGCAAGAATCTGTCGCCATATCTACTTAGGAAAATCTTATTTTTGGATATCGTCCTGGTATATCGGCCTGGACTATAAAATATCATCCTGGCCGATCCAGGTCAATTTTTTCAAAATTTGTTAGACAGTTTTGGAAAGCAATTAATGGGGATTTCATCCAGGCCGATGGCAAGATCGTCCGGGACGATTAGACATCGTCTAGCTTCATTTCAGGGCGATATTCAGGACGATTTTCCTCATATTTGAACTAATCGGCCATGACGATATGCCTATTGTCCTGGACGATAATGTCGGCAACTTGCATTAATGAGCTCGTTTTTAGCTCTTCTATTTAAGCTATGACAAGGCACTTTGTAAGTGTCTTTGGCAGCCATTGTAGCTTTGTTCTTGTGGGGGAAACTTGAAGAGAGAGCTTGAAAGAGAGAGAGGAAAGGGTGGAGTTTGAGAGGGAGCAGATCCTGTGAGGGGGAGGAACTCAAGGGAGTGTGGTGGGGAATCCACATGGTTGCTCCGGCGAACTCGCACCTTAGTACCATCGGATTCAAGGCTGAATTGTCAAAAAGTGACCTTAATACATTCGTAGGACTAATCTGTCAACTGAGCCTAGTGTATGAATGGTAAGATAGGTCACAAAAAGTAATAGAAAAACTGATCTCCTACGAGAAGATCTAAGTTCTCAAAGTAGTGATGCTAATATCCGAGGCAAGGTATACTACATCACTACAAGTAAAGTAGCTCTAGGTAGTAAAAGGGACACCCTCACTACCTGAGGGCAGTAATCATGTATAGAAGTGAAGAATCATCAAAAAGGGTCACAGTGGTAACACCTACCCAGATCGAGTAGGACCCTGTGGAGAATAAAAGCAACAAAATAACATTCATAGGGCTACTCTAGCAGCCAAGAGTATGGTACAAATGCTGAAGTAGGTAGGTGAAAGAAACTAAAGAGTCGATCTTCTAATGAAAAATCGGAGCTCCTGAAACTGTTGTGCTAACACCTGAGCATAGATGTACTACATGATAGCTAAGAAAGCAACTCTGAAGTGCCGAGGGAGCACACCTGACACCTAGTCTGATAATCATGAGTGAGATCTACGATTATCAGCAGGTCACAGTGGTAACACCTACCCTAATCAGGTAGGACCCTATGCGAAGTGAAAGAAACACTACAACATTCATAGGACCACTCTAGAAGTTCTGAGCAGTGTATGAATGGGAAGGTAGGCTGCTAAAAGAGGGCAGCAGGGGACGATCTTTCCTCAGAAAGACCCAAGCCCACAAGGTAGTGATGTTGACATCTATTGTACAATATATTACATAACTAGCAAAGAAAAGCATCTTGGAATCATATGGATTAATCAACCAACTAAGTTGGAACTCAACCTTTAAGAGCTCATCAAAGTGTTTCAAGGGAAAAGAAAGGAAATTTTGGGGCATTTGGGCTCTTAGAGATTTTTACCGGGTTCCTCCTATGACAAGGGCAACCGGTTTTGTTCTACTGAGAGCTTCCCTCTTTTTATCACATGTATATATATATATATATATATATATTTATGAGGATTGTGAATGATTTTGGTAACCCAGCTCATGTTCGTCACATAAACAAAACTGGGGAATTTGTGCTTTTGGAGAGTTTTACCGAGTTCCTCCTGTGACAAGGGCAACTGGTTTTTCTCTACTAAGAGCTCCCCTCCTTTATCACACGTAAATTTTTAAATGGGGATAATGGAGTGTTTTGATAACCCAGACCATGTTCGTCATATGAACAAAATTGGGAAAAAGATCTAACATGATCTTGTAAAGAAGTGAACATTTGGTTTTGATAACCCAGACCACATTCTTCTCATGTGAAGGAACTGGGGAGCACAATCATAGTGAAATTGATGTACAACTGAAATCATCATCAGGATAGAGGATCAACACTACCACATTGTGCTAGCATGAGATGGTATGGACCCTGTATCATATCTAAAAAAGAGTCTAAACGGATGACTCTAGCATCCTGGATCACATTCAACTCATATGAATAGACTAGGGGCTACATCTATCAGATCAGGCCTGATAGGAAGAAGACACTTAAATAGGGATAGTGGATCTCCATCACCATACCTGACTGTCATGGGGTGGTATGGTCCCAGTATCACCTCTCAAAAACTAAACTCGAACTATTGGTTTTGATATCCCAGATCACACCTAGGGTGGCAGATGAAACTGGGGGACTAAGCCCTACAAAGGGGAGAACAAACTAAAAATTCTATGCGATGGCACCAACGTGATTGGTACGCACAGACAAAAGTATAAAATATCCTTACGGCGTATTAGTGTATCACCTCTAAGGATAGCTTTATACTCTTCCAAACAAACGTCGTGTAGTAGAGGACAAAGTGTCGTGGCCATACAGACTGCTGAAAAGTAAGAGGGATCCTTTTAGGAGTTATAAGTATAGAGGGATATCTACAAGCGGTAGGGAGGCTCCCCTGTGAAGTACTAGACTCAAGCAAAGTACTTTTTCAAGTACTGCCCGTTGATGACAGGCATTAGGTGAACGCCATTTTCATCAACAAGTAAGTAGGCACCACCTTCATAAACTTGCTCTACAGCAAAGGGGCCTTCCCAAACAGGCTCAAACTCACCACATCACCGACGGTGTGAGATGATAGGCCTACGTAAAATAAGAACTAACTAGCCTACTCGAAAAGCACGGGGTCTAACAAGGCGCTCGTAGTGCCGTGTCATTCGGGCCTGGCATAGCTTAAGGCATTGATAAGCTCGTAAGCGAAGCTCATCTAAACCATCAAGCTCTTCTAACCTCAGTCAGGCGTTATCTTCATCAGATAGATTATAACTAACTACTACACGCAGTGATGGGAGCTCGACCTCAAGTGGGAGGACAGCTTCAGCCCCAAAAGCTAAAGCATATAGGGTGGACTAAGTAGGAGTATGGAAGGTAGTCCTATATTCTCATAATGCTTCAGGTAACTTATCATGTCATTCTCTCTTATTTGCAACAAGGATTTTGCTTATCAGTTGCACAATAGTCTTATTAAATGCCTCTGTCAAGCCATTGGCTTTGGGATAATAAATCGAAGAGTATCGCTAGTTGATGTTATGGCGGCGGGCAAATCTGGCAATTTTGGTGCTTTTAAAGGATGAGCCATTATCTGAGATTATACGGTGCGAAACACCAAAGAGATAAATAATATTATCGTGAAAGAAGCGCATCATATCTTCTGATTTCACTTCCTTAAGTGGGACAGCCTCTATCCACTTAGAGAAGTAATCAGTGGCGGCTAAGATAAACTTATGACCCTTAGAGGAAGGATGGTCTATAGGACCCACCACATTCGTGCCCCAACCCTCAAATGGCCAAGAAGAAACAGTAGGGTACAACGGATTAGGGGGTGGTGAATCACCGTGCCATGAATCTGGCACTAGTGGCACCTCTTAGCATGCTCCATGCAATCGTGGATCATAGTCGGCCAGTAATAGCCAAGGCATTTAATTCTGTCTTTCATTTTAGGTCCACACTGATGGGAACCATAAATCCCTTCGTGTATCTCGCTCATGACTCTACTAGCCTCTTCTTTACTGAGGCATCTCAACCACATTTGGTCAAAAGAGCGTCGATACAGAGTCTCATTTATATAGGCGAATGATAAGGCTCTCTTTCTAATTTGAGCAGCGAGAGACTTATCATCTGGAAGCCTACCATATTTTAAATACTCTATGAAGGGCTCTCTCCAATCTGACTCCTCATCCACAGCAAATACTGCAAGGGTCTGATTGAGAGAAGACAAGTCTGCGGGGCACAGAGCTTGACGATACTGGACAATAATAGACACTGGGTTTCTAGTAGGGTCAGCTAATTCTTTTGCTAACTTGGCCAATGCATATGCTTTTCTATTTTTAGATCTAGGGACCTTGGCCAAAGTTACTTCTGATATTAAGCTCAAGAGCTCCATTACTTTATTATGATATGGAATGAGCTCAGGCTTAAGTACTTTGTAGACTCCGGCTACTTGATTGATTATCAGTTGGGCGTCTCCAAAGATCTTCACCCGCGTAAGACTCATCTGAATGTCCAACTCTAGCCTCAAAATCAGAGCTTCGTACTCAGCTTCATTATTAGTATGAGGTTCTGATAAGCTATAGGAGTACCATAGAGTATGACCCTCAGGAGACACAAAAATCAGGCCTAATCCTACCCTAACTGTAGGAGTTTCATTTGGACTTAAAACTTTAATGGATGACGCACTGTCAAAGTAAAACTCCCAAGTAGGGGACTCTTGTTCATCACACTCAAGATTAATTCATCAGGTAGATCATCATTGAGTGGTGAATAAGCAGGGATCGGGTGATCGACCAGAAAGTCAGCTAGAGCCTGTCCTTTGATGGCCCGCTGGGGAACAAAAGTAATGTCAAACTATAGTAGCATCATAGACTATCATGCTAGATGACCTGAAAGGGTCGGACGGGTCATCAAATACTGTAATGGGTTGGCTCGAGAGATCAAATTAATCTTATGTGATAGCATATAATGCCTAAGATTCTGTACCGCGAATATTAAGGCTAAACATTGTTTTTCTATCGCTAGGTACTTAAGCTCTGCAAGTATTAGTCGCCTACTGAGGTAGTACAAGGCATTCTCCTTGCCTTCCTCATTCTCTTGAGCCAACAATGCACCTAAAGACTCATCCAGGGCCGTAGTGTAGAGAATCAATGACCTACATGGGATAGGTGCAGCTAAAAGTGGGGGGTTCGTCAGGTAGCAATTTATACTCTCAAAGGCCTCCTGACAACTATCATCCCAATGGAATCGGGCATCCTTCTTCACTAGTGCAGAGAAAGGATGACACCTACCATAAAGATTGGAGATAAATCTCCGCAAGAAAGCGAGTTTACCCTGAAAGGACCTCAACTGGGTAAGACTCTTAGGGGGTTTTAAATCTACTATGGCCTTGATCATAGAGGGGTCAATTTCAATGCCACGGTAGCGAACTATAAACCCTAAGAACTTTTTTGCACTGACTCCAAATGCGTAATTTAAAGGGTTCATCTTTAAATCAAATTTGCGCAGGCGTTCAAGAATGATTTGTAGATCTCTAAGGTGATCTCCACAGACCTTGCTTTTGACAGCCAAATCATCCACATAGCATTCAACATGCTCATATATCATCTCGTCGAAAATGACAGTCATGGCACGTTGATAGGTGGCTCCGACGTTCTTGAGACTGAAGGGCATCACCTTGTAACAAAAGACACCTATAGGTGTTCGGAAAGCAGTAAACTTCTCATCCTTGGGGTCCATTTTTATCTGATTGTAACCAGATGAACCATCCATAGATGAGAAGATGCTATGGGATGATGCTATATCCAGCATAAGCTTAGGAATGGGGAGAGGAAAATTATCCTTAGGGCATGCCTTGTTCAAATCACGGAAGTTGATACAGACTCGTATCTGTCCGCTCTTCTTTTGTACTGGAATAATATTGGCAAGCCAAGTAGGGTATTTCTCTTATCTAATGAAACCATCTTCTATAAGCTTCTTAGTTTCAACGATCACATGTTGTTCAATTTCTAACCTCATCCTACGAGGTGCTTATTTAGCAGGGACTGCATCAGGCTTAATGACTAACTTATGGACTGCTACCTCTGGATTTAGACCAGGCATCTCGATATAGTTCCGGACAAAATAGTCTCTAAACTCTGATAGTAACTTGATGTATTCTTGAGCCTCTGAATCAGACAGTAGGGCACTATAAAAAATAGGCATAGGATCTGACTCAGTGCCTAAGTTTACCTCACACAGTTCGTCCATGGCTAAAGTGACGCTATCTTCAAACTCTTATGGAGCATCAAGTATTCTATCATCCTCACTACCCAAGTCTTCTTCGTTGGTAAGAGAAACGACCGGATAAGCGTGGGAAATAGCGCTAATGTTGGCATTATTGGACTGATTTAACCCCATGTAACCTACACCTCCTAGACCTTGAGGGAAATCAGTCTGCCAAACTCAGGCTTGTTGTAGAGCTTATTCGTCGGGCTAAGTGGAACAAATGAGACCCCGCTCAACAAAGCTCTCTACAATAGGTGAAAAGTAACGAGGGGCACTCATGACCTCTACTTCCATAGCGAACTCCTCTAGATCCTGTCTCACAGGACCCAGTGGTGCACCTATACTACGGGGTACAGAGGGACAGTCTCTAGGTCGGGCTGGCCCAAATGTATCATACAAGTAAGGTATGGGGTTGTGACTACCCCATACTGGGCTACCATCGTCAACTATAGGAGTTTCAGAAGATCTTTGACTGGAATCCCCAACTCCTATCCCGCGTATCTGATGGGGGGAAGGTTGTCTGGTAGTAGTCTGACGTCGAAAGTCCTCTTCCTTGTCTGAGCTAATATCAATAACCAATTCACATTCAGGTATCAAATGGCTATGAAAAGTAAGTAGTGAATCATAGCCTGTGGAATATGGAAGTGGTGAAGTGACTGGATGCTGAAGGATATTGATCATTTCATCGTCAGAAGAGTCAGACTCTACAGTCAAAGAAGAAGTGTAAAGGTTAGGGGGAGGGGGTGTACGAGTGTCGTGATTCCGCGGCTCGTGGATCACAACTCTTCCTCTCCCTCTACCCCTATCTCCCCTACCTCTACTAGGGGGAACATCGTGCCTCACTGCGCATTAAGAGGGATCTCCATCAGAATGTACAGTGGAAATATCTGGCTTAATACTGACCAATGATGGACCCTGTACTAACGATTGTATAGGACCCGGTGCAGGTGGCTGCATAGGATCCTGTACAACAGTATCAGGTATCACTGGGGACTAGCAGGTGGAGCTCTACGAGTCTTTCGGGGTACATAGTACTTGGCGTCATCGTACATAGAGATCTCATGCACTGAAAAGGTATGGGTATCTCCAGGAATGGTATACTCAACATCATTCCTCAGGAACTTCATACCTTGGTGCAAGGTAGAGGGCACCATTCCATACTCATGGATCCAAGGCCTTCCTAAGAGAGTCTTGTATGAAGTGTCAGTCTCAATCACATGAAACTTTACCTTAGTTAAAAAATTTCCAAACTTCAGAGGTAGGGTGATAGACCCTAAATCTCGCTAGCCTTGGTAATTGAAGCCTTTCAACATAATCTTGTCGGAAGTGAGCTTCAAATGAACTAGGGAGAGGCTCTTCAAAGTTTCATGGGTTAGTATGTTTACTGAAGCTCCTTGGTCTATAAGGACCCTGTTCAACTCATAACCATTGACTTTTGCAGTGACATACAAGGGATGATTGTACTCAGTAGTCCCCAAAAGAAGATTACGCCATAAAAGGTGATGCATGGTGTGTTGTACAAATGTCATGCCTCATCAGTAGGGTCGAAAGCAAAGAAGGCTTGATAGGACTCTGATTCAAGCAAGGCTTTTACCAGTGTCTCTCTCAAGTCAGGTGACAACATCAAAGCGTCATAGCACTAAGAAGGGAAGGAATTTTCCTTAGATGAGCCAACACATTATAATTAACCTCCAGCTGAGGGCTTTTCCCTTTCTCCTTAGGCTGCTCCTAGGAGGAAGGGATAGGATCATCCTGTTGGGTAATGATATTCTTATCTTTTGTATTCTTAGTCAACCTAGGTGAAAGGACCTTTCCTGAACATAGATGAACTTCCTGTATTGAGTCATCCTCAATAGGAGATTCCTCTGGTTCAGTGGTGGTGGCAGGTGTTGGTTCTAAGGAAAGTGCTGAGAGTGGGTTTTCGGATTCATCCTCTGAATCCATATAACATCCACCCTCTGGTATCATAAAGACTGGTTCATCTTCATACTTAGACTCAGACTCTTCACTAGAATTATCCATATTGTAAGAAACATGTAAAGCAGTAAAAGAGTGAGTGCTAGAAGAAGCATAAGTAAAACTAGAAGTAAAAGTAGTAGGAAAAGAACACCAGAAGTAGCTAGAATCACCTTCTTCTATTATTTCTTCATCAAATGAAGGGAGAACAAAGTCCTTCAGCGTAAGTACTGGAAGGAACCTTGTCTTCCCCTCAGAGGTTACAACAAATTTTTCTCTTTCATACATTTTCTTATTATATATAAGAGAAGAAGAAGAAGAAATGTGCTCAGTAGGCACTATAACAGAAAGAGAAGAAGAAGAAGGTACAAGTGCTGGCGTAGTAACTGCAGGGGCAACTGTCGACTTGGCCTGTGGTGGCCTCCTCTCAACTGCCTCTGAACTCTAAACTGCACGGTCTATCATCCTCCTAGTCTTATTGGAGAGTGCTAACTGCCACTCTCCCTTAAAACTCTGGGGTAAACTGCCACTACTGCCCTGACTATCACTCTGGCTGGGACTGTGGCTAGGACTGGACACCATCTGAACATTCTGAGGGCCCTTGCCATTGGGCTGCACTAGGTCACTATCCTGGAGGTGTATCTGTTCTGTGGCCATCAACCTCTCAACCTTGTCCTTGAACACAAAACAATCCTCTAACACATGCCCAATGTATATGTGGTAAAGACAATAGAGTGGGTACTCAGTCTGACCCTCCTCCTCCACTCTATTATTACTGGGAAAGATAACTATGTTCTTCTTAGTAAGGAATTTAAAAATTTTCTTCACACTCTCCCTTTTAAAGGGGTATTCCTTACTAAGCTTCTCCTGTAGAGACTGCTTACTCTCTGGAGTCCTACGGGAGGTCCTGGGCTGTGTTGCTGGCTGACTAGCTGAGTGTGTCTAACTAGATGAGTGTGACTGTTGTGAAGGTGCTGAACTGCCTAAGAGCCTCTTGCCCTTATTTCCTGGTCCTTGAGTACTGTGTACTTTCCCTCTCCTGGGTGGAGGTGCCCCTGAAAACTCCTACCACTGTGTGCGAAGGCTGACTCTCAGCCTTAGGAGGGACTGCATCGGGTATACTGTCATGTAGGCTGGTAACCTTAGTCAATAGCTTCTGAAAGGTTCGTATGGTGAAACCCTTCAGGTATGGAGCAATGAGAACATCTATGTTCTTCAAAAGGATCTCAACTGCATGTTGCTCCTATAGCTGTGGCTCACACTGCAAACTGAGGTTCCTCCATCTGACTATATAATTTGTGATTGACTCTCTAGGCCTCTGTCTAGTGACTACTAGTTCCCCAACTGTAACCCGGTGCTCAGTGCTGACAAACCTCTGGATGAACAATTGCTCTAGCTTTGTAAAAGTCCTGAATGAGTCATTGGGGAGGTCGGCGTACCAAGCAAATGCTACCCCCGCCAATATGCTAACGAACAACCTCAACATCAATGGGTCACTCCCTCCTATATTGCAATATATAGTCCGGTACTGAGCCACATGCTGCCTCGGGTTCCCAAACCCGCAGAACACTCTGAACCTAGGAGGGATGAAACCAGGGGGGTAGGGCTCCTGCTCATACTCTATCGGGGAAGGATGCCCTCTGCTAACTAACTCTCCAGTCTTCCTGGAGGAAATGACCTGCTCTACCTTCTGGGCAATCAGATCCTGAAGCTAACCCGCTGACAACCGAGCTGACTGACTCTGAACAACTGAAGGTGCTGCAGGCATTACTCTCTGGACCCTGTCCACTCTCATGGGGTCTAGTGTAACTTGAGGCACAACTGGCTAATCTCTAGAAGTACTAGCAGCGGCTACACCTGCCAGTTGGGGCATCACCCCCAAGGCTGTCAACTGTGCTGTCATGACTGTCATAGCTCTAACCATCTCTGCCATCTGTACCTGAAGGTTCAGGACTGTAGCATCTATATCAATTGATCTGGGAGATCCACCCACCTCAGGCTCTCCCTGCTCATCCTGGTCCTCGAGCTCTCTCTCGTCCGAGTGACCTCTGCGAGTAACTACACAAACCCGGTGTACTGGCACCTCCTCGTCGGAATCCACTAGTGTATCATCATCATCTAAAAAGGCTAGTCGCATCGCCTCTATGTACGGACTCATAGGAGAGGTGATCCTATGAGTGCTAGGGGTTAACTTTGTCTCAATCCGTACTAGCAATCTGTCTAGGGTAGGTACTGAACCATCATCACAAACCATCAAGACCGCCTCGGACCCGGAAGGAGCGACAACCTCCATCTGATCAGCTGCCTCATCTGGCTGCTCTGCCTCTGACAACTGCTCTGTCTCAACTACCGGAGCTGGGTCGACAAGGGTTCCCGCCTGTCGACGTCTCCAAACCCATATGGTACGACGGGGTGCTGCACTAGTAACTGGTTGCTCTGGGATAACCACCTCTGAACTGACCTGAGGCGAGGCAGGCTCCTGCTGCTCTCTTTGTCCTCGACGATGTGAGCATCGTCTTACCACAGGAGCCACTACTGGCGGCCTAACTACTGGAACTGCATGCTGCTGGGGTGTCTGCCCCCTCTGCCAACTGTAAAGTCTCCTTGCAGTCTGTCTCCATAACTAGAAAGTCGCATGAGAAATCTGCCGGAGTATCTTCTCCCGACTAACAGGCCCCCTACCACGAGCTAGGAAGACGATGTGTTGAATCCTCTAAGTGAGGGCTCGAACACCAGCATTTCTAGGGACCCTAGCCCGGGGTAAGGTAGTGGCAACATGAGAGGCCGTCGCAATATGGGCAACATCCTCCTCGTCCCCACTGTGTGTCAGCGGGAAGAAGCGTCCTCCCTAGACTACCTCTATCTTAGGAGCTAAAACAACCTCTCGAGTAGGCACAACTGAAACTGGTTGTGGTCTCCACTGTCTGGGAGCCACCATCCTCTGAACAAGCTCCTAGTGATCTATCGCCTCAGCCATCTGCTGCCTCTCTGCCTCGGATGCAGTCAAACGCAACCTCCTATTCCTA